TGAATTTATTGTAATAGTGGCAAGAAGGAAGTTTTGCCTGAGTATTGTTTGGAAAATGGAGACTACCGCAAGCTTGCTTTCCTTGCATATAGTTTGTGGTCAAAACAACCAAACAAATAAAACCCCAAAGGGCATTTCAAAAACACCTTGTTCCCTGCCTGTTCACATCAGTTGTGTCGCAATCACATGACCTGCTAAGAGCTCCCCTGCCCTTCGTGTTGTGAAACTCTGTCTCCCAAAAGCAAACAGTGCTCACAAAGCAAGGTCTATGAGATGGTGATCCTCTCAGCGCCTCCAAAAGCTCAACTCAAGTGCCCAAGTGAAATGTGTGTTGTCTTTAGTGGAAGTTGGGTGGTGGTCTGGGGAAAACGGTGCCAGCACCCGCAGTGCAGTGTGAAGTTCCAGCATCTGAGTGTGCAGTTTCTCCGTGGGTGCAGTGGGCAGTAGGCTCTTCTGTTGACATCTAGAATTGGAGAACCCCGGGCACACAAGCCAGCTAAGCCCAGGTGACCTCAGCCTAGCTCTATCTGCACACATCAGTGGAATGCCACTTGATTTCTTTCATCCACGCGGGCTCCCACAGCAGGGACTTCCCAATGGGGTGTCTGCACAAGGCAGCCATGACACGACACACCCTTCTGCCTTGCTTTTGTGTCCAGCCACCTTTCCCCCTCTGTGGACTGCCTGAGCCGCACTTCTGGTCCAGCACTGCCCAACTCGGGAACTGCTGGTTGCTTAAATAAACTCTGTACCTTTTTATTGTGTCTCAGTTGACTATTTGGCAGGACAAGTTTTGGTAGGTTTTAAAACAGCACCCAGAGTTTTGTGAACTGGTGTGAACTGGTGGCTCCTGGCTTAGTTGGATATTTCTTGGACAACTAAAAGACACGAAGTATCCTGGTGTGTGCTAATTTGCCACTTGGGCGGAAGGACTCTGGTGAAGTGTCTACTCAGGTCTTTTGGCTATTAAATCTACTATTTTTTGAACTTTCAGAGTTCTTTGGCTATCATAGATAGCAAATCTTCATTGGATAGATTTGTAGAGAGACATGGCCGCCCTGCCCCATGTCTCTGTATGCTGAGTATTCCCGCTTCACCCACTGCTCGGGACAATGGGAATCAGCTGTCAGCACTCCAACCCCGTGGAGCCAAATTAAATAAAGAGCAAAAACCAACTCCATCTCATCTTAGAGTGCAGCTTCCCCCAGAGGCGTTCATTTTCTTCTGGATGTTGAGGGATCCAGTGATTCTTGGTCTCAGTTCAGGCTTTAAGAAAGGGACCGTTCAAAAGGAGTAGCTCCCACAAGTCTGGGGCACCAGGCAAATCCCAAGCAGCCCTGCTTTTGTGCCACAGAACTCCCCAAAGTCGATATGCAGGTGTCTGTCTTGTCCTGAGGTCTTGCTGCTTTTTAGGAAAGATGCCCACATTCCTCTTCTGGCTTTTCCCTGCAAGTTAGACCACCACAGGTCTGTGGTTCTCTGAGCCCCTGCAGGGGGCAGGAATGAGAAGCACTGTCTCCTGCTCTGTGCAACAGTGAACATGCGGTTGTCGTGCGGAGAGGCTCAGTGCACCCTGTCTCCTAGTCAGGGCCTGCTGGCTCCCGACCCTGCTCCATGACGCCACCCCACCAAGGCTCAGCTGCAAGGGCCCCACTCTCATCCTCTGCCTAGCTCCCTTTCCGTACCTCCCGCAGGGACTGGGAAGGAGCGTGGTGGGAACACGTGGTCACTGGACACGTAAGGCAAGTCCAACACGAGCTACCTGCTTTCAGTGGCGCACCTAAAACCACAGGCACCAGTTTCAGTAAGTTTTACTTTTAGAGCACAAGTTTCCTTCTCATATCACTCAAGATAGTAAAGGAAAGAAGTTTCAAAAATAACCAAAAGGATAAAGAACATTTCACAGCCAAGTGAAGTCACACACACGCGCGCACACACACACCTGTAATTCCATCACTCTGGAGATTGAAAGAGGAGGATCTTGAGTTCAATGCCATCCTGGACTACATAGCAAGATTGTGCCTCCCCCCAGATAAACCCCAAACCAACCCAACAAAGAAAAAACCCAAATTCACAATAACGATTAGAAAAATAATTCGCACCAACTCACTAAATAGAAAAATCTATTTATTATGTTGTTAAAGACAACCAGAATAAATGTCATTAAAATATTCTGTCGCGACCGCCTCGACCCGCAAGGATGACGCGACAACAGGTCCTTCTTTCAGACGGTTTATTCAGGACCTTATTTACAGCTTCTTTTCTCCTACTTCTCTCCTGCCCGCTTCTTCCTTCTTCTTCCTGCTTCTCCTTGTTTCTCCTTCCCATCCGCCCCCGCGCTCCGGTTATAAGCCTCCGGGATGGCCAATCCTGAAGCGCCATGTGGTATATACTGATAGGGCTGCAAACACGGAAGCAAACTAGGAGCCAAGTCATAGCCATATAAGGAGTTGTTTTTTACAGAGAGCACTCGTCACGGGGAAGACGGAAGGTGGGAGCCCGCGCCATCTTAGGTCGCAGCCGCACCACGCGGCCCTGCCATTTTTGCTTTTGCAGCCGTCTTTGGTCGCGGCTCCCGCAGCTCTCCACAATATTCAAAGGCAAAGAAATAGAAAATGATTGTCAGATGGACAAAAATAAAACTGCAGCTGGGTGTGGTACCAATGCTGGAAATCTCAGCAGGAGGTTCAGTGGCCAGAGGTCAGCTTGGACTACATATCGACTTGCAGGGCTGCCTCTGACAAGCACCTTTTGAGACATAGTCTCAAAATACAAACCAAAAATAAGCAGTATGCCAATATTCTCATCGAAGTAAAATTCAAATTAGCCAACAGGAAAATGATTTTGAGAGTTAGTACCAATGATAAGGCGTGAAGTTTTACAAGTAATAGCATCAAATGAGGCAAGAACTCTTAGAAATACAATAAAAATTACATACAAAAGAAAAGTAACACTGCAGAGAATTTTAAAATAACAGCTATGTTTATTGCAGCATTATTCCCAATAGTCAAACTGACGCATCATCCCAGGTGCCTATCAACTGGTGAATGAATAAAGAAAATGTGGATCATGTACACAAGGAAGAATGACATTGACTTGCTTGAAGGAAACATAGGTGGAACTGGAGATCATCGTATTCAGTAAAGTACCCAGATTGAAAAAGACAAACATTGCATGGTGTCAAGTGGGAAGTAGACTCTTAAAGCCTGAATGACAGCTGTGTAAGGTGTGTGGGGGTGGGGGTGAGGGTAGGAGAGGGCAAAGAGGGGTGAAAATGATCAAGTACTTTATACACCTGTATGAGACCAGAATAGTGAAACCAGTTCCAATAATGTAAAAGGGGAGGAGGAAGGCAGATAAGGAACTTAACAGAAGAGGATTCTACTACTCACCACTGTAATCCCAGCTACTCAGGAGGTTGAGCTCTGAGGATCACGGTTCAGAGCCAGCCCAGGCAGGAAAGTCTGTAAGACTCTCATCTCCAATAAACTACACAAAAAAAGCTGGAAGTGGCGCTGTGGCTCAAGTTGTAGAGCACTAGCCTCGAATACAAAGAGGCTCAGGGATAGAGCCCTAGGACTGGTGCGCGCGCGCGTGTGTGTGTGTGTGTGTGTGTGTGCGCGCGCGCACACACACACGTGTTCCCTCTTCCTTTTTCTTCTTTGTTTTGTGGTACTGAGAAGTAAACTGAGGAATTATACTGAACTGCTCTGCTACTTGAGTCATATACTCTTAGGCCTTTGGTTTTTGTGTTTTAGGGGTTCTCATTTTCTTGCCTGAGACCAGGATTAGCCTCAGATTGTGATCCTCCTCCCTCAGCCTCCGTCATAACTGGTCCACTCCAGTTTGCTTTTTGAGTCACCCCAGCTGGCTTTAGCTCGCAATAGATTCCTATTCTGCCTCTCAAGTAGCTGAGGTTACAGGCATGACCCACCATACTTGTCCAAGATGACCATTCTCTAGGATTTCGAGAAAACTTAAAATCCACAGGAAAGAAAATTCATAGAAAATAATCTCTGTCCACACATCAGAAGTAGAACAATAAAACCTTTCAATAAGATCTTCCAAGTGGGTGAAAAGTAGAAAACATCATCTTAAAGATAAATTATTTTCCTCAAAATCTCTAGCTCAAAGAAAGCCTAAGAGATAATTCAGATAATTATAAGCTCATTATTAAAGTTAAGGAACACCTGGCCTTACACCTGAACTCGTACTTGCTAAGAACAAATGAATTCAGCTTTCTTTTCAAGCACTGATAAACAAAAAGAAATAACCAAGGTCAGAAGAATAAAAGTAAAGAAAAAGTAGGAATTTAAAAACTGAGAACCAGGAAATCTTCACAAGAAAAGCCTTGAGAAAACCTCACAGCTCACGAAGGAAAGCACCCCCGCGGGCGTGCGCTCCTGCTCCTCTCCTCTCCATCTGCCCCGCATCCAGCTATCTAATCTCAAAAATCTTGGGGTGGAACAGTCTTGAGCAGGGATAGGCCCCTGTTCTTTAGAGGCAGTCAGTGGCCCCTCTCTGTCCTGCAGCTCATCTAGCAAGCTGGGCTGGGCAAAAGCTGGGAGAGGCCAACAGCTAGAGACCTTCGCCCAGCCCAATGAGCAGCAGCAGCTCCCTTCCGTATCAGCAAGTTCACCCAGCATAGCAGGTACAGAACAAGACCGCTGGGGCCGGCTGGGGCCAGCCCGGGCCAGCCAGGGCCTCTAGGGAGTCCTGGAGGAAGGGTGTGCTGCCATTGACCTTGCAGACAGGACTGCCTCAGGACAGTGGACGTGAAACGTGTCCTTCCGTGATAGATCCCAGTCCTACAGAGCGAGCCATCACAGCTCAGAGGTGAATTTTAACCTAGAGTGCTGGAGAATCCTGCCTGACCTGGCGGGCATCCTCCACCTGAAGTCTGATTAGCCTCTAACTAAGTGGCTTGTATATTTACTAGGAAGAACCACCCTGCAGCAGGGAGTCCTGGAAACAGCAGGGAAGGGGGAGAGGAAAGTGGGGGGCAGAGAAGGGGGTGAGGGAAGTAGGGGGGTGCCCCACACAGCTCCCAGCTGAAGGCCATCTTGCCCACAGTCAACCTAATACAGAAAGGGAATCATGATTTTTCTAGACTTCGGGTAATCTTCAAACTTCTCCAGGTACCACCTGAAATAAGAAAAGAAACTCAATAAGGCACACGTTTACCTAATGTATTTTCCATTATAAGGAGATGAGGAGGTGTTTGTGTTCTTGTGGTGCTGCGATTGGACTCGGGGCCCTGCCCTTGTTGGGCAGCCGCCTGAGTCATTCCTCAAGTCCCTCTTGGTGCTGCTTGTCTTCTAGGCCCGGCTCGCTTTATGTTTGGGATTTACGTACCAGCGCTTCCTCCGTGTTGCTGGGTGACGGGAGCACGCCAGCCACCACCCCAGCCCTCTAGGCCCCCCATAGCTGAGACAGCGGGCATGCACCACCACGTCTGGCCACTGGTTGAGATGGGAGTCTCACAAACTTTTATGCTGGCCTCGAACCACCACAGCCCCATGGATCTTGTCCTACAGGCTTGTGCCACTGCACCTGGCCTTTTAGGTTTTTAAGTGCTGTATTAAGGGCTTTGACATTTCATGCAGGCATTAGTTTCATTTGTATCATGAATAACTCCACACACCTAAAATGAAACAGAAAAGGGGCAATCCGGTGATTCGCTTTCCCCTGGGAAGGGACGTTGCTGACATGATAAAATCATTGGTCAGCACAGGCCAGGCCCTTCTCTGGCAGGACAGGATGAAGATGGGGCCGAATGAGACGGGCAGATGTGTCTTGGATGCCTTCTGATGACCCTGCAAGTCCTCACCAAGCCCCATGGAGAAGCTCAGCTGTCATCGGGAGGATGGCCGGCGGGGTACCAGGCTCATGGGCGCCCCTAAGGACCGGCTCAGTGTAATCTGGTGCCACCCAGAATTCAACCCTTAGCTCAAAATGGACAGAATTTTCAATTTTGATGAATTATATTAATAAAGATGCATACATTCAGCTTGGTGCCAGTGGCTCACGCCTGTCATCCCAGCTATTCAGGAGGCTGAGATCTGAGGATCGCAGTTCAAAGCCAGCCCGGGCAGCAAAGTCCATGAGACTTTTTTTTTTTTTTGGTCGGTGATGGGGCTTGAACTCTGGGCCTGGGCGCTGTCCCTGAGCTCTTCAGCTCAAGGCGAGTGCTCTACCACTTGAGCCACTGTGCCACTTCTGGTTTTCTAGTGGTTTATTGGAGATAAGAGTCTCATGGACTTTCCTGCCTGGACTGGCTTGGAACTGTGATCCTCAGATCTCAGCCTCCTGAGTAGCTAGAATTACAGGTATGAGCCACCGGCACTCAGCTTATCCATGAGACTCTTATCTCCAATAAACCACCAGAAAACCAGAAGCGGTGCTGTGGCTCAAGTAGTATAGCACTTGCCTTGAGCTGAAGAGTGCAGGGACAGCGCCCAGGCCCAGAGTTCAAGCCCCATGACTGATGACAAAAAAAAAAAAAGATGGTACATTCAATCTGGAGTTCAATCTGCCAGTTGAAAGGGCTGGCAACTAAGTTGATGAGATAAATACCAAAAGTACTCTGAGGTCAGACACGGAAGTGCTCAGTGCAGTCCCATGATCAGATCCCCAGCTCAAAAGAGAATAAAACAAAACAAATAAGGAGTGTCCATAGGCCACGAATGACAGCTATGAGACTAAAAACCACAACAGAAAACACAAGCAGCTGCTTGTTCATGGGGAAGAAACACATGAGGACCACAAACAGAAGAAGCAGCTGTAAAATCCTGCCGATACTGGATGGGTTTAGCACTGTAACCTACGTGCATTCTCCTTTCCTTTCCTTCCGCTGGTCTGTGTAGCACTAAGACCCAGGAAAAATCCCACCCCTTCCTCCCCAAGAAGCGAGGGCCCCTGGGTCGGGCATGACGGGCCAGGTGAGGGAGGCCCAGGGACAGTGAGGTCAGTCTCAGGGCTGGGTAGGAGGACGTGTGCCGTGATCATGTTTAATGGGCAGGTACTGAAAGTTGCTGCAGCCCTGCGGGACACCCAGCCAGTCAGCACAGCACCTTGCTAAGAGCTGCGCACAGGCGGCTGCGTAGGCACCTGCAGGGGTAGGTCGGTGTCTCTCTCCGATGAGCTAGCTGCCCATGGAAAATGAAACTATAGCCCTGGAAGAGTAGAGGCAGAGCCCGGCAGACAGTGGGGTCAGCCAAGACAGAGCACATGGGAAGCTGCATGGCCGGCATCGTGTGGGGTGCCCTGGAACTTTTCTCACGCAGCTCTAGAGAGCAGCTGGGCTCTCTGGGAAAGGCATGGTTCACCCAGTGGGTTGAATTTCACAGCCACCATTGTATAGGAATGAAATGGAATTTGTTAAGTCATCAAAATTTTCTTGTGGGGTTGCTACAATTGTACATCCACCCACAGTGACTGGTGTTTTTAGGTCTGGGGCTGGCGTTCAGGGACTCAGAGATTGCCTTGCCCATGCAAGATACGGAGTTTGATCTTCGGCACTGAAAAGTCACCTTAAAAAGAAAAATAACCCTCCCCCTCCCTAAATTAGAAAAATGTATATACAAGATACATGACATTGGAATCAAATACAGTGACAACAGGGGTTATACCATGGGGGAAGAACACACAAAAGAAACAAAAATATCATGTGGCACATTATAAATATATTAAAAACAACAGAAGAAAGATAAAACCTCTTGTATCCCTATCTTGGGGTTCATTTCATTGGCTGACCCACTGTAACAATGAGATGTACAAGACACTATGTTGAAAACAAACTTTACAACTTGGGAGGGCGAGGGAGGATTTAGGGAGGTGGGGAGGGAAGGGATGGTAGTGGAAAAACAAAGTGGGGGGTAACAATGCTCAATAGGAAATGTACTCATTACCTTACTCATGTAACCGTAACCCCTCTGTGCAGTATCTTTACAATAAAATATATATTAATAAAAATTATATGACTATATTTAACCTATATGTTTCTCAAGTCAATAAAGCCTTCTAGTATTTGTTTAAAAAATAACCAATAACTGTAACCCCTCTATACATCACCTTTATGATGACAATAAAGAATAAAAATTAAAAAACAAAGCCAGCCACTAGTGGCTCATACCTGTAATCCTAGTTATTCAGGAGGCTGAGATCTGAGGATCACAGCCATCAGGGATGGGAAAGTCCATAGAGTCTTATCTTTAACTACCCCAAATAGCCAAAATGGAGGTGTGGCTCAAGGGGTAAAGTGCTGGCCCTGAGAATAAAAACTCAGTAACAGTGTGCAGGCACTGAGTTCAAGACTAGAAAACACACACACACACACACACACACACACACAATACATATATATATGTGCATGTGTATGTTTTTATCTTTAAAATCTTAAAAGGGCTTCAACTCAACACATCAACTTATGTGTGCAATACATCTTGATCAGCATCACCTCTAAAAGTTATGTTTTGAGATTAATAGGAATCCATTTTAGCCAGGTGTTGGTGACTCACACCTGTCATCCTAGCTACTCAGGAGGCTGAGATCTAAGGATGTCGGTTCAAAGCCAGCCTGGGCAGGAAAGTCGGTGAGACTCTTATCTCCAATAAATCACCAGAAACTGGGAGTTGTACTGTGGCTCAAGTGGTAGAGTGCTTGCCTTGAGCTGAAGAGCTAAGGGACAGTGCCCAGGCCCAGAGTTCAAGACCCACAACCCACGACCACCACCACTACCACCAACAACAAAAGGAACCCATTTTGAAAGGGAAAACAACATGCTTTATCTTCTTTTTCTCTCCTAGAGTGGAAGTTCTCACTTATGTGGCCTGCACAAGGCTGACTCTGTAACTCATTTTTGTCTAGGTTTTATGACCTACAAGCCCGAGCTTGTGTTCCACTGCTTCTCTTCACGTTTGGATTATGCTGGGATTGTGCTTCCATTCCTGAAGGCATCGTTGCTTTATGACTCCCAGACAGCCCAGCACTCCCACGTTCTCTGACCTAAGTCTTCCTCATGGGCTTATCTGTGACCTCATTGGTCACTGACCAGACCAAGTCAGTGTTTTCCATGTCATAAACCATCAGAAATCAGGAACAGGGGCTGGGAACCTAAAGCATTCCACAAACATACTCCATGCTCATAACCCAGGCAAGTTATAGTATCTAGAAGTTACACCAATTCATTTTTCAAATGACCTTAAACTTAATAGGTGAGCATTACTCCACACACACGTGTGTGCACACACATATACATGCATGCTTTACATAGATTTATACTTCTGTGGCTGGCTTCCTGGTTCAAGCCCACACTGGGAGCATGCCCACAGCTGTGCCAGTCTGTCACTTCCCACAGAGCTGCACGGCCACACCACACGCTGCTCCAAGTGGTAAGTGTGGCTGCTCCAGGTGACAGCCACACTGCCTCAGAATTCTGCCCTCTGCAGAGAACATGTTTCAGCAGCCCTCACAGCTGCTCCAGTCTTTCCAGCCTCCAGCTTAACTACCAATAGCCACTTAGGAATTTAAGCACCAATGATTATGGAAAAAAAATGCCATTAGCATGCAATATTGTTTTAAGGATATTACAATAAATATAGGTCTAGAAATGGTTCCGTGGGATGTCCTCTTTATAATCAACTTATTTGATTGTTTAATTAGTTGGGTTTACTGGATGAAAACCAGGACAAGCCAGGGGCAATGCTCATGTCTAGAATCTTAGCTACTGGGGAGGCTGAGGGAGGAGGATGGTGAGTTTGAGGCCATTCTGGGTAACTGTGAAACCTCATCTTAAACAAAAAGAACAAAAAACAAAAGGAGAAAAGAGAAGAGAAAAAAAGAAACTCTAAAAAAAGAAGTTTTTAATTTTGTTCTCAGAATATACTCCCAACATTCCTGAAGATATTTCCACAAAACCAAATTCTTCAAGATTTCAAATCTATTTCACATTCATAGTAATTTAAATTGTAAGTGAATGACAAACAGCCTTTTAACTCATGAATCTTGGAAATAATATCTTTGAGTTTTCATCAACAAAGACTTGCACTTGGAAAATGAAATTACTTATTTCTATTTCTGAATGTTTCATATGCCAATGTTGAAAGGGATTTTCCTGTTCCCTGTTTCAGTTAGAGAAAATAGCTTTACAACAGATTTGTGGGCTCTCATTCAGTTTTCCTCGAATCCAAATACTAAAAAAGCCTACGTTTTTTTATTTCTCTTTTACTAGAAACAGGCCATTATTTGCTTTTCCATATCGAATACTGCAAGCAAATGTTAAGACCAGTATCTTCCTGAAGGTGATGACAGACACAGAAGGGACCAGGTCCTTGTACACGAGAGGCCTGGGGCTGGCTCAAGGCCGGAGGGAGAATCTGGATACCTTGGAATACAGGAGTCCTGACACCTGGCTTTGCTCTCAGCACCGACACAGCATGCAGCCCAGCATGGCTCTGTTCATTTTAGAACACTTGGTTGTCTATGTTTAGTTCAAAGTAGCAAGGCATTATTTCAACCAAATTTTCTACAAAATCATTGGGTGAAGGAAAAATCAGAGGTTTTCAAAAGTCAAACTCACTGTATTACTTTTAAAGGTGAAGTCAATTGAAATCAGCAGAAATCTGGAGAAAGCTTCATGAATTGGGTGTGGGAACACAATGGATCTTGTTTACAGGCACAGCAGAGCCACGCCCCTGAAGACTTGGGGCATCTCCTCTGGCTCCTGCCAGGCATTTCTGGCTTGAAGCTGTACCTCTCTAGATTCTGCCTTCTCCATTTCTGTGTCTCCCAAGGCCTTCTTCTCTGGATGGGCATCTTTCATTTTCCTCTTTACAGGGGCTTGAACTCAGGGCCTGAGTGCTACCCATTAGGTTTTATGCTCAAGGCTGATCCTTTACCACATGAGCCATACCTCTATTTGCAGCTTTTTGCTGGTCAATTGGAGAGAAGAGTCTTATGGACTTTTCTGCCCAGGCTGGCTTTGAACCACGATCCTTAGATCTCTGTCTCCTGAGTAGCTAGGGTTGCAGGAGTGAGCTACTCTTTTCTATAAGCTGTCAGTCATACTGGATCCAGCCCATTCTACATCCCTATGACCTCAAGTTAGCTGGTTGCTAACTTGAGGGAACAATCCCACTTTGAGTAAGGGCCAGGCACCAGGACCAGGGATTAGAACTTTAGCCTTTCCTTCTGGGAGAGACAATTCAGAAACTGCTGTACAATTCCCAGCCATGCGCTCTCAACAGCACAGGTCCTTTTCTGCATCATCCTTGTCCTAGGCCCATACTCATCTTTCTTTGTACATCTCCATCTCTCCCAGGAGCTCAGCTTTCTAACATCTGTATGTGTGAAGACATCAAGCTCACTGGCAAAATGGCAACAGATGCAGGTGCTCCTCCTACAAATCTCAGCAGTTACCACACCGTGCACAGCTCCTCCCAAGAGTAGCCACCTGGACACGGCAGCCCCAGTCTTTCCCCTCAACATCAACAGTAATCCATGAAATCTCTCAGTATAGGAAGCTGGGTGGGTGTTCTGACTGCTAGACATTTCTGTATCATGACATCAGCATGTCCCCCTTTTAGCTTTCTCTCTGACTGTTTCCTGCAGTGGCTTCATGTATTTCTGTATGTTTACAGCATCCACAGCTGTGATGACGTGTGGAAGACATGTGTGGATAATGCTGGAGAGGGAGGAGCCCAATGTGACTCTGGGATTCACTCCCATCCCAGCATCCACTGTGCACAGTGTTCACAACCTTGCTGTGGCTGCTCCAGTACTCTCAGTTTTAGTTACTGTTCCCACTACACAGCCCAAACCCCTGCTCAGTGGTGAATTTGGCCACAGCCTCTTGCAGCCCACGCTCACTGCCAGAGATGTGGTAGAGAAAAGCAGCATGGAGGGTACCCTTTCTGGCACCATACAGGGGGGAATCTATGATGTATCACTTGGCTTTTGCTAAAGCAAGACATACATTGGGATTCAGCAAATCAAGTTAATATTAACGTCAACATTTTACAGTCTGGTACTGGTGGCTCTTGCCTGTAATCCTACCTATTCAGAAGGCTGAGATCTGAGGATCATGGTTCAAAGCCAGCCCAGCAGGAAAGTCTGTGAGACACTTATCTCCAATGAATCACCAGAAAACCAGAAATAGAGCTGTGGCTCAAAGTAGTAGAGTGTTAGCATTGAGCAGAAAGTTCAGGGACTATTCTAGGCCTTGAGTTCAAGCCCCATGACTGACAAAAACAAAACAAAAAACCCCTGAAAAATGTTATTCTAAAGTCAAAGAATAAAGTTTAAGAGTTTTGCAACTTACTGGTGATGCTGTTTTGCTCTGGTGATTAGAATACAAAATGTGAAGAGAGCAAACACCCCGCCTTGGAGAGACCAGCTGGCCAGTGCAAAGCCGCTCCACTCTATGACTTCCCCAAAATAATTGGCTGCAGTGACATATTCAAACAAGCCTCCTAGACAAAAACAGAGCAAGACAGTACATTTATTATAAGGCAACACCCAAATTAATTCTGACTTGAGACACAGTAGTATCTACTTGGAAAACCTAAATCCAACTATGGAAAAACAATGGAAATGTTCATCAATGCCATATATACCCCATTATGGCTTCAGAGCACAACCCCAGGGGGCGCTGTGCCAATGCCATCTGTTTATCAGATACACACATCTGCAGTTTGAGCCACTTCGCTGTTATGGGTTGGGTGGACATAACTAAGTAGGCATGGGGGAACTCCAGCAAGCAGAAACAATCACTTAGCTTAGTCACACAATCCAACCAGAAAGAAAATGCCCTTTCTCAAATGTGAATTCATTTGTTCACTAATCAAAGCTCATCAATGCTGTAGGCACTCTGACAGACCACTCCCTATCTAGAACAATAAATTCCAGAGTAACAAACAAGTGTGGAGGGGGGAGGGGCAGGACAGGATTGGGGTGGGGCACAGGGAGGCGATCCTAGGCAGGGAACAGGGCTCACTGAGAGGGTGAGGGGCCAGTCCAGGTTTCAGGTGAGCATCTTGAATGGGTATCAGAGATTCAGAGGCTGAACAGCAATGGTCAGCATGAGGTCTTTGAGTTCCAACTCGCCTTGGTCTGCCCAGCTGAGAACTGGCAAGTTATAAAAGTGATCACCCATTAAGGTATAAAAGTGATAACCCTTCAAGGTATAAAAGTGATAACCCTGCAAGGTATAAAAGTGATCATCCTTCAAGTTATAAAAGTTGATTAGCCTTCAGTGTATGAAAGTGATCACTCTTCAAAGTATAAAAGTGACTATCCTTCAAGGTATAAAAGTGATCACTCTTCAAGGTATAAAAGTGGTCATTGTTCAAGGTATAATAAACACAGTTTCAAGACCAACTCCTGCAGTGTGTAGAGCTTCTATCTCTAGTCTCACGGCAACCCAAGCACACAAGGGCTCTGGCCAGAGGTGAGGTGGTTGACTAATCACAAGAAACAGAAAAGGAAAGGGGAGGGAAAGGAGAAGAAGCTGTTTTGCTTTTTATCATGTGAAGGAGGTGGGCAGTCCTATCATGTCCTTTTCTTTTCTATGAGCTTCAAGTAATGCATAATCAAAACACCATGCCAGTGTTCACTGACAAGTTAACTTATAATCAGACAAGCTATAAAAACATCACATATATTGCATAATAAATGTATCATTCTTATAAAAGGTGTGCTACCTGTGCCCTCAGGAATATCCCCCAAATACCGAAGGCCAAGTACTTCCTGGGCTATGGGGTTTAAGAAAGGTACACTTCTTTTTTTTTTGGTCTGTTGTGGGGCTTGAACTCTGGGCCTGGGTGCTGTCCCTCAGCTCTTCAGCTCAAAGCTAGCACTCTACCACATGAGCCACAGCACCACTTCCAGTTTTCTGGTGGTTTTCTTGGAGATAAAGTATCTCACAGGGACTTTCCTGTGCAGGCTGGCTTTGAACTGTGATCCTCAGATCTCAGCCTCCTGAGTAGCTAGGATTACAGGCATGAGCCACCAGTGGCCAGCTAGGTACACGTCTTTATTTTTCTATTGCTGCCAGGGCTCAAAACATTTCATTATCATTATCATCTGTCTCTCAGGATCCCGGCGCTGAATCTCAAGAAGGCCTCTGCTCTGTCTGTACAAATGCCATGTCTCCTTAAGGCACACAGCCCAGAACAGGAGGCAATGGAGGCTGCGATGGGACACCTCTGTCCCCACTGCCTGGGCCTGTCCCCTCAGCTGTATGGGGGCAGAGTGTTTGGTTGGAAACAGGGAGGGTGGTGAGCATGTCATGACCTAATAAAAGCCATAGTCAACAATCTCCTAAAAGACCCATTACAACACACAGGTACATCACCAGACTGTAATACATATGCATGGAAATGTCACAATAAAGCTCATTATTTATAGAATGTACGCTGAAGCACATTGAAATGGTGTAAAAACAATCCTTGAGTTTAACTTAGCTGTGGGAGTGTGACAACCCAGCTTCATCCTCATGAGCCCTACTGTCATCACATCTGTCAGGACCCTCCATAACTCCCATGCTTCATCTGATCACCAATCCACAGCGGACAGGACCTTCCCTAACCCCCAGGCCTCATCTGTACACCAATCCAGCAATGACCATTTGCTAGTTTGAAAATGAAATAGGAAATGAGTGCCAGAACTTGGTAAACTCTTATCCCACAGATAAGAGTTCTGACCACCAACCCCTACTCAAGGGTACCAGGATCATCACATGTAGGTATCTCCCTGGGCCTATCACATATCTCAATTGGACCCAGGACCATTTCCATGGTCTTCAGCTGCCTCACTCAGTGATGTGTAGGAGAGGGAACAGAGGTGGTTTCTGATGAGCCAGCATACTTTCCAGCAGTCATTCTCCCTGTAAATTACTTCTGCCCCCCAAAACTAGAGATGGTGTCTAAAAAGAGACATTCAAAGCCAGGTTGCACACATCTGTAATTCTAGATACTCAGAAAACTGACATCTGAAAAGTTTGAAGCCAGCCTAAGCAGAAAAGTCTGAGACTCTTATCTCCAATAAACCAGTTAAAAAGCTGAAAGTAGAGGTATGGCTCAAGTGCTAAGACAGCCTTGAGGGGAAAAGATAAACAAGAGAGCCCAGGCTCTGAGTTCAAGCCCCAGCATTGGCACAGAAAGGAAGGGAAGTAGGATAGGAGAGAGGGAAGAAAGGAGGAAGGGAGGGAGGAAAGGAAAGAAAGAGAAAAAAGAAAAGAAATTCTACCACCCCAATCAAATAAATCTTTTCCTTTGACTTAAGGACACCCAAGACTTCAGCAGGCATTTCCTTTTAAACAGCTTTCTTGTCCTTTCCATACTCCTTTTATAAAAAAATAATGATCTTAATTATACAAAAAACCCCCAATACCCCAAATAGTGAACAGAGTTGTGACCCAGAGCTCCTGGCACATGTCTTCTGCCTTATGCAACTTCCACACCCTGAGGGCTGAAGGTTGTATCAGCATGTCTACATACTGCCAGTTGCACACCTCATGCCCATCTTTGTCTCTCCAGGGTTTTTAGCTATTCCTTTGGCAACTGCATTCCTTTAGCCTTGTGTACTAACACTTCCATCATGAATGGAGATCTGAGCAGTGGTTCTACAAGAGTCTCAGGCATAGATGGCATGCTTGTACATTAGAAAAATGTGACTACATTGACTGGAAATCTTCAGAAGTTCAGCTCAAAACCCAACTCAGCAGAGCACTCACAGAGCATGTGGCCCAAATGCTCTCTGGCATTTCTGAAATCAAGGGCAAGCTTAAAAGGAAAGGCAAAAGTCCTGGCTCCACGCTCCGTCTGGGCTTCATGGAATCTACAGATCCTCTGGGCCGGCCACTCGCTCCCTGCATGTCAGTGTCTGATGGTATGTGATGTGATGCCTTTCCGAAAGGCAGCCTTGAGTCCTGGTTTATGTCTCTAAAGCTTTAAATTGCTTTGTTTTTTTTATGTGTTCTGTTCCCATTTTTAGATTTTTCCTTCAGCACTTTAATATACAAGATAGATTTCCAGGCCTCTGTAGCCATCACTAAAAAAAGTCTCAGGTTTCTTCTGTCTTTCATGCACTTTCTGAGGTGGCTGATGTTTTTGTGTATATGTGAGTGTATGTACTATTGAAGCATTACTGATCAAGAATTTTGCAAACAGGACTGGGAATGTAGCTTAGTGATGGAGTGCTCACCTAGCATGCATGAAGCCCTGGGTTCGATTCTTCAGTTCCACATAAACAGAAAAAGCCAGATGTGGAACCATGGCTCAAGTGGTAGAGTGCTAGCCTTGAGCAAAAGAAGCTCAGGGACAGTGCCCGGGCGCAGAGTTCAAGCCCCAGGACTGGCAAAAAAAAAAAAAAGAAAAGAAAAGAAAAGAAAAAGAAAAACAAAAAATGAAAAAGAAAAGGGGCTGGGAAGGTAGCTCAGTGGTAGAGTGCTTGCCTTGCATGCATGAGGCCCTGGGTTCAATTTCTCAGCACCACATAAACAGAAAATCTGGAAGTGATGCTGTGGCTCAAGTGGTAGAGCACTTGCTTTGAGCTGAAGAGCTGAGGGACAGTGCCCAGGCCTAGAGTCCAAGCCTCATGACTGACAAAAAAAAAAAAAAAGAATTTTGGGAACAGTTTCTTCCCTGTGCTTTATAGGTTCCCCTTGTTTTCCCCACAGTGGCACCTCCTGCTGTCTGGGAGCCATGCAGCCTATGCACCTCTGTTCAATCTGCTCAGACTGGACACCACCAGCAGGGGCCATCATGAGGAGGTGCTGCCTGGGGAGGTGGTGGATCCCTTACTGCAGGCTGGGGCTGTTTGTGGCCAGGCCCCTGGCGCAGTCTTCCTGGGTGCAGCAGGCAGCAGGCTCTTGCTGGTGTTCTGCAGCTGAGTATCAATGCTGTGATTGCCCCATTCATATTTTAGTTTGGATGTTGGATCCCCATTTTCGTCTGCTTTGTACTCAGATAGGAATGTTTGTTTTGCTGCTAATCTGTCCTTTCTTGCTGTATGCTTGCATGTTCTCTATGTATGTTTGTATGTGTTCTTTCTTGTTCACCAGGTTTGAACATGTCAAATTAGGAGGCTGATCAGCCCCTGGCAGCAGAGAGTGGAGGGAAAGGGCTGGAGGTCTGGCTGTCGCTGGCCGCTGTCCAGCACAGAGGTTCCCGCACACAGGGTCCTGGGCCTGTCACCACTCCTGACCCCCTCCTCCCTTTTCTGGCATGCACTCAGTCTCAGATGTGGCGTTCCTCATTCCACCACTTCTATAGCTTCTGGAACTTTCAGGATCCTTCCATTCTCCTCTCAGGGTTCATGCCCTGCCCCATTGTACCATGGCTCACTCTGCTAGTGCCGAGAGATCCGGCTCCCTTGACAGCTGCAGGAGGCTGAGGTCTGCACACAGGCCCAGCACCTGAGGGGCATCTCTTCCACCTCCCAGGGCTGGATGGGCCATCAGCAGCCCATCTGGAACTCCTTGGCTCTCCTCTTCTCTGGCCCCTCCATTGGGGCAGGACTGACTTCTGAGATGGCTCTGTGGACTCCAGGCCATCTGAGCTACACATGAAATAACTTGATGTTTATAGGGCTTCTGTTCACTTGTTTTTGCTGTGGTTTTTGCACGGAGGTTTCCAAATGAAGAGACATCATGTGTTTGTTCTACTGCTCACACATTCTACAAGGGAAGGTGGTATCTAGCACTCACTCATGGTTTGTCTCCTGAGGAATAACTTCATTTCTTGATAGTACACTGAAGTCCTAAATAAAACTCAGCCCAACATTTTCCTGTACTTGTTAGGGGGAAGGACCTTCTTCTATCACAACATTGTTAACAGAAGTAGCAGTGCCCCGTGCAACATTTATGTCCTAACCCAGATTCACCTTTGTGCTTAATATATAACTACCCATCATCAGAAATGGTTCTTCTCTATTCTGAGAAAACAATTACAAGACTGACTCACCCTGAACACTTGTACTAATGACTACTATACTGTGCTTTGGGAGAACTGACAAAGCCTGGCACAATGCAATGCAACACAGACAGTGCTCATTTTCAGTACGTACCCCTGGGTATTTTATATCCAGTCTCCCCTGGTTTTCTGAGATTCCTCAGGATATGGTCTGAGTGGATGTTTATCACCATGCCCAATAACCACAAGACAAAACCTAAAGGCAAATAAAGATGATGACGAATAATGAGCTGCGAGGTCTAAGACGCTAGGTCCAAAGAGTCAGTGCAATCTTTCAGAGGATGATAATGAGGGCACCAGGCCTGCCCTCCAGGACCAAGGTGAGGCCAAAGTGTGCACTCCAGAGAACTCAGAAGTCTGTTCTTTCTCTTCATATCCCATGGACAGAACACTGTGTTCTGCAAGGTTACAGTTAGAACCTGAGAATGTATATCAATTTACCTTCGTTGGTGTGGTTTTTTTAAAAAAAATCACAACTTTGCAGAAATGTATAATTTCTTTTTCACAGAAGTTTACCTGCCTTGCTGGCGGGTGAGCCATTCCTACTCATTCTCAGGTTACAGAAGGCAGTTCAGGAAGCCAAAGGGCTCTTCGATTACATGGTGGACAGGTGCCCAAGTGCACTGGGTGAAGGCAGCCTTTCCATTCCAGCTGGCCACTCTTGCTGGTGGCACTCACTGCCACCTGGGCAGGCACAAGACCTACTTCTGAGTCGGTGTGTGTGAAGGTGCCTGGTGTAGGAGACCCCTGCAGCAGAACAGCCTGATGCTGGTGCTGGCTGCCCAGGACCCCTCCTACTCTCTCCCTTGGATGGTTTGGGGTTTCTAACTAGAATGTGCTGGGCATGACAGTCAGAGTCTGTGAGAGGCAGAGAGCGCATGGCTGAAGACACTCACCTGCTAGAAACCAGGGGTGGGTCACCCAGGGCTCAGGATATACTGCGTACTGGCTGAGGTACCGGCTCTGCAAGTAGCCATTATAGGTACAGAAGATGAACGCCAACACATAGGAGAACAGCAGTGTCGGCTTCCCTCCTCGGATGAGTAATGGGAAAATCAAGGTCCTTAGAAAACAAGACATAGAAACACACGGAAAGAAATGTTTAATACATTCCCACTCTGAACAGAGGTCTGGATTCAGGGCTTTGTACTTGCTTGGTTTGTTTGCTTGGCTGGGGGCAAGTAAGTCACACTTCTAGCTTGGCATTTTGCTGGGTATTTTGGAGATGGAGTTCTTGGACTTTTCTACTCAGGCTGGCTTTGACCTATGATCTCCTGAGTGGGTAGGATTACTAATGTCCAATTTTCTCTCTCTCTCTAATCTTCCTTTCAGATACAAGTATCATCTTAGTTTACACTCTTACTGATTTACTCTATTTATGCTAAAAGCCAGGATTTTTTATGTAGAATGAAACATGCTCTAATAATAGACACCAGTCATCGTATTCAGATCCAAGACTGTAATTGTACAGAACGTGAAACATACACCAAGTCTGCTGAGAAAACTGGAGGCTTTTTCAGGCTGTTCTGAAACCATTAACCCATTCCAGTCTGCACAACAGGATTTGGGGTACATGGTCATGTCACCCATTATCAGTATAGTGTTCCCACCCCTCCAGATCCATCCAGCACCTTTCCCGGAGCTCCACCCTGGGCGGGAGGACTGTAACCCACACTTCACAAAGGACAGAATGAAGACCTGTGGAGGCTGGAGCTCCGGCCCAGGCCACAGGGCTGAGTGGCACTGTGTTTAAGTGTCCATCAAAGAGTACATTTTTCCGCCCTGCTTTAGGTATGCCTGGTCAACCATTTAATGAGAGAAAAGACAAAATTTAAAACTTGTAAGAAAAAGAGGACGCAAAACTTATTTTGCACTTGAATTTTCACGTACATATCAATGTATAGTCACATAGTGAAAGAGGGAAAGCCTGAAGAAGGTAGAAAGTAACTCTAACGAGCAACTTCATTCCACTAAATTCTACCGACTGATGAAACACAGTCCTTGAAAGACGCAGTGAACCAGTTGACCCAAGAAGAATTCGACCGACAGACATGTCTAGGAAATAAACTGAATTTAGATGTAAAATTTAGAAAAGGCAGAACTGGACTCTGAGAATTAGCTGCAAAGACACAAGAAAGAAGCTCTGGGGTACACCCCTGATCCGCCCCTGGTCTATGAAGTACTCCTGACTTACAAAGTCTAGAAAACAGGCACGAGGGAACCTTCGGGACACACTCCTGCATGACACCTTGATTTGAAATAGTCCAGGCTTACAACATCTAGAAATGGGTTTAATAGAATGTTTGTTTTTGTTTCTGTTATGGCACCAAGGTTTGACCTTAGGGCGTTGCACTTGGTGCTCTAATACTACCACATGAGCCATGCCACCAGCCCTTTTGGTTTCTGTTATTTATTATTATTTATAAAGTCTTGCATTTATGTTCAGTGTTGGCTTGAACTACTTATTTATGCTTCTTGCCTAAATGGAATGACAGGCACCCGATATACAGCTGGGATTTTACTGGATGAGATGTAATCTTGTAAACTTTTTTTTAGAGCTAGTTTTGAGACCAGTTCCTCTTGATGTCTAGTTCATTAGTAGCTAGGATTACAGCCACAAGCCACCACACCCAATCCAAGTACCAGCCCTATGCTTCAAAGTAACAGCAGGCTGACAGTGATACGATGCTGGCCATTCTCCATGACATTTTTTGTTTTGTTTTGTTATTTTCGGGTTCTGGAACAGAACCCAGGACCTGGCAGATGCTAGGCGAGCTATTATTATGGGTATGATCAGATAAAAGTTTCCTCATTCAGCCAGGCACTGGTGGCTCATGCCTGTAATCCTAGCTACTCAGAAGGCTGAGATCTGAGGATCTCGGTTCAAAGCCAGCCCAGGCAGGAAAGTCTGTGAGACTCTTATCTCCAATAAAAACCACTAGAAAACTGGAAATGGAGCTGTGGCTCAAGCAGTAGAGTGCACGCCTTGAGCTGAAGAGTGCAGGGACGGTGCCCAAGCCCAGAGTTCAAGCCCCACAACCACCACCAACAACAACAAAAGTTTCCCCATTCAGTACAAATATAATTTTTCTCTGCATATTTTCACTACATGACTTGAATTCAGACATGAGACATGAATACTCAGAGGACCAACTGATCCCAGGTCCTGTGAGATTTGGGCAAAACCCACCCTACATTCAACATGGGATACTAAGAAGGAAGAGGCAAAAAGAAGACATTAGGAAGATTACAATATTTTGAATAGGCACTAAATGTCTAACTAGAGAAATCTAACAGAAATCTGTCACAGAGTTTTGAGAAATGGATATCTAAGGTTTCAAAGCAACTGAGGAAAAGCTGTTTCTATATGAGGATACTTTGGGTTCTAAGAAACACAAAGCAAGGACAGCAGATTTTCATCAACTTCTCCTACACTCCAGGCAAAATTCTAGATAACAGAACAGACTGGTGGGCAACTATATACGTCTCTCACTCTGCTCATGGTGTTTTCTACTTCTCCTGTCCCTAACATCCCATGTCTCCTGCTGCTCTTCCTGTCCTGACATCCCCCCTTCTCCTGCTTCTCTTCCTGATCTTCACAAGCACAGGAGATTACAGGCAAGTGTCACTTTGTACCCAACTTATTTTCTCTCATTATAAATACTCTGGCACAAAGCTTACAGCCTGCCTGTCTGGTTCTTTCTAGAAACTCTGCTGATCATCAGTCTGGATTTAATCAGTATGAGATTCTGGACACATTACTCTGCTTTTCTCAGGCTCTGCAGCTGGAGTCTGCTTCTGCTTTGGGGACTAGCTTTGGCTCATGTGGGTCTTGTCACTACCAAGACTTCTGATCCAGCCTGTGCTCTGAGGGAGGCTGGAGAAGTTCCAGCACAAAGGCAGGGCAAGAGGCTCTGGGGCCCATCTTTGTCTGAGTTTTCTCTAGTCTGTAGTGGTAAATGTGGGACTGTTCCAGACAGGAAGGAAGGTGGACACAGACATCCAGAGACCCACACAGTGCAGTGCTGTGGCCCAGCCTTCCTCTGCTAGATGCACCAGTATTCATAAGCTCTCCATAAACTGCCTCATTCGCAGTCACTTTTCCATAGAGCAGAGGGAGACACCTGCTACCGCTAGGCTTGTGAGAAAGGAAAGCATCCAATCTTGATCTGCAAATCCCTTGAGAGATACTATCGTTAAGAGAAACTATGAAGCACTTGGACCAACAAATGTTTTATTCAGCTACTGTGTCACAAATCCATTTTCTGTCCTGAATATAGCAAAAGGATACAAAATAGGCAGTTCCCAGGGTGCTACAAAAAGATTCTATTTCCAGCTAATGAGATGAAGTGTAACATTTAATTTGACACTGTGTTCTCTGTTAATGTTACAACTTTACTATTTTATATTCTCTCTTTTCCATGAGAAGAACCAAGGCTCACATCTCCCAAAGTTGTTTTTATTCCCTAGGGAAATTGCAACCCGTCCTGGGCCTAGAACACCGGGCAGGTGAAATGGTGGAGCTCAGCCACCAGCACCCAGGGGCCAGATGACCCTGAGGCATCCATGGCCAGGATCACCTGTGGCATCAATGTTCTGTTTGCATTTGCAAGCATAGACATCACATAAAAATGTGTCCGACACTTTCCAATAGTGTTTCTAATAGGTTTCCTGGGTTGAAGATCTACAACTGCTGATTGCAAAGTCTCGGGGACAAAGAAGCACTCAGCTCTGAGGGGAGGTTTCTGAATCTAAGAAAAACCAAATGTCCTAAGGAGGGTGACTTACAAAAAAAAAAAGAATAAAAATCAGAAGAAAAAAAAACCCCAAACAACCCTCCCACAGATAAACAAACGAACCCCACGGTCATCAGAGTTATTCAGGACAGTGGGTATCTCCATGGAAGGATGGAGAGGTTTGAACTTCTCCAGTGCAGCACTGGGGTATCTTCTGGGGCTGCTGGAAACCACAGGGCCAATGCGGGTTCTCTACCAACCAAACCAGCAGCCTAAGCCCTGGACAGGGCAGGGTCACACAGAAGCCTGTCCCTGGGCTTGCTGCTGCACTTGGGTCACCAGAAAGCAAACCCAAACCAGCACGGTCAAATCATCATCAGCCAATCAGAAACCACCAGCCATCCTCGGGGAGACTTGACCAATCAGAAAACACCAGCAACTCTCCAGAGATGTGGCCAATCCAAAACTGTCAAATATCTCTGAACTCACATTGCACCTCCCACGCTAACAAATCAAGTATTCCACTCCTGCAAACACCGTACAGAAAGTGTTTTCAATATGTTTAATGTCCTATATGCACTGGACATATGTGAACATGTCACAGTGAAGCTCATTTTTGTTCCATGCACATATGCCAAAAGTAATTTAAAAATAAGAAAAAAAATGTTTCTCCCTCCCACTCACTCAGTGAGCCCCAATAGCTTGGTAGCCTGGGAGGCCTGATTCATAAATCACCCCTTCAATTGACTTCACAATTCTGACACCTCCAAGGGCGCCAATTCCTTCACCTTCACAGCCCCCACTATATTTTAATTTTCACAATGCCTCGAACATACAGTGGAGCTCACTGGACACTGATGAGCAAGATAGGAGGGAGGGACAGGGAGAAAGCGATGGAACAGCAGACACTGTACAAGAGGAAATATACTCCTGACCTCACTCACGAAACTGTAATCCCTCTGGATACCACCTCTATAATAATAGCAAAGTAAATTAAAAAGACATTTTTTAAAAAGTGAGGCTGGAGCGGAGTGCTGGTGGCTCACGTCTATAATCTTAGCTATCTGGGGCTGAGATCTGAGGATCATAGTTTGAAGCTAGCCTGGGCAGGAAAGTCCATGAGATTCTTGTTTCCAATTAAGCACCAAGCCAGAAGTGGAGCTGTGGCTCAACTGGTAGAGCACCAGTTTTGAGTGAAAATGCTAAGGGACAGTGTCCAGGCATCAATACTGGCACTAAACGAATAAACGTTAGCCAGGTATTGCATATATTAATGTGATATGTTAAAATGAAATCTCCCTCATAGACTAGTTTATGTGGAATAAAG